ACTACATAGTTGTCCGAGTTTTCAACAAATGTGCTCCAGGTTATTATCGTGACCGTGCCTTCATGGAAGTATCAGAAAAAAAAGATCGAATTCGCTTGATAGATAAAATTACAAAACTAAATTAAACAAGGAAATATTCACCAGGAATACCAAAAAGCGGAAGAGGAAGGCAATTGAAGTGGATTGAGAAAATAAGCTTTATCAAAGTGATTTGAGGAAGATAGACCGAGCTTCGTTCAGGTCATTTTCTCCCTTAACCTTCTCAGACCTTCAGTAGCAACCTTTAGAAGGAGGAAGCAGTACATGTATGAAGAGGCGTGAGTTGTGTGTAAAAAAAGTCCCGTGAAGGACTACGAAAGATAGGGAAAGGATCCTCAAGAACAAGTTGAATAATGAGAAATGAAAACCTTTCTCGTTAATTCTACGCAACGATTCTCGAACACGTCCCCCTTTCATCGTCGCACGCCCCACTCCCTCTTCCCCCTTTCCCTCTCCCTGCTGCCCTCATCTATCTCCTCAGCGTTGAGCGATTTAAATCGAGGCTGGAATAGTGTGAGGTCAATATTACTAGGTGGTAATTTGAATTAGTCATTCAGTCGAAAGCGATTTTTGTCGCCATGATTTGCTTATTTGCAAATTAAATTTTCGACTCGATAATTTTTCATTTGATTCTATTTCCGCACTAATGAGAGACCCAATTAGGAGCATTGAATGCCGAATAATTCTCGACCGAAGATGTTCTGCAACAGAATTACCATGTCATGGGCGAGGGAATTGAGAGAATAGGGAGTTCGACGTTTTCAAAACCATCTACGGCGCTCGTGAAGGTTACCTCATTCGAGCAGCCGTTGGTGTTGATGGATGGACAGCTTCAGGCGACCAATGATCTATCGGTTGGTAGACATCCTTCCAGACGTACCCGTTCCACACTACGGAACCTGCAACAATATCTGGGATATAGGGGTTCAAGTTATTGGGTTGTAACATAAGTTCGTAGTTTTTTTCACAAAGATTTATTTGAACCAAAAAACAATAATTATAATAATAAATTAACCAATGATGTATCCTCCGTTACTG